ATCATACAATTGCTACAGGCAGGTACAAAACGAGCCTAACATGTGTGATCACATTTATGTAACTACACACGGTTATACTGGGGCCGGTTACATGTAACTCTTACAAGATAAGAAATATATTAACAGATTAAGTCATTCCTCGGTGTAGTGACAGTCCAACAGCCTGCAATAGACTAAGTATACTTCTAATCCAGAAAAAAGGGTTTTTGTGTCTTGATTCGGTAGGGTTTTTTTTATAGTATTCGACTAAAATTTTTTAATTACACGAGGCCTTCAAACAAATAAATAAGCTGAAACAAGAAAATATAGTGCACCCCCACCCCCTTTTAAAAAACAAGAGGCCCAGGGGCCACAGCGCTCACCTGAGCACATCGGGCTTGAATTTACTCCCCCCCCCCCCTCCAGGCATTCATCATTTGAACAAACTAGAATCTACACTACCTGAGGATGATTCCATATAAATATCACTAATCATAGCTTTGAAGTACTTGAAAAGAAGATTTTAAAAGGTTTCCCTATATATCCCTATGTAAAACTTGGGTCGGCCATTTTGGCCCCACCCTTGCCCCGGGGGTCATGATTTGAACAAACTTGAATCTACACTACCTGATGATGATTCCACCACATGAGTTTCATCTTTCCTGGCCCAGTGGTTCTGGAGAAGAAGATTTTTAAAGATATTTCCTATATATTCCTATGTAAAACTTGGGTCGGCCATTTTGGCCCCACCCTTGCCCCGGGGGTCATGATTTGAACAAATTTGAATCTACACTACCTGAGGATGATTCCACATGAGTTTCATCTTTCCTGGCCCAGTGGTTCTGGAGAAGAAGATTTTTAAAGATTTTTCCTATATATTCCTATGTAAAACTACGGTCGGCCATTTTGGCTCCACCCTTGCCCTGGGGGTCATGATTTGAACAAACTTGAATCTACACTACCTGATGATGATTCCACCACATGAGTTTCATCTTTCCTGGCCCAGTGGTTCTGGAGAAGAAGATTTTTAAAAATTTTTCCTATATATTCCTATGTAAAACTAGGGTCGGCCATTTTGGCCCCACCCTTGCCCCGGGGGTCATGATTTGAACAAACTTAAATCTACACTACCTGAGGATGATTCCACATGAGTTTCATCTTTCCTGGCCCAGTGGTTCTGGAGAAGAAGATTTTAAAAGATTTTTCCTATATATTCATATGTAACAATTGGGTCGGCCATTTTGGCCCCACCCTAGCCCCGGGGGTCATGATTTGAACAAACTTGAATCTACACTACCTGAGGATGATTCCACATGAGTTTCATCTTTCCTGGCCCAGTGGTTCTGGAGAAGAAGATTTTTAAAGATTTTTCCTATATATTCCTATGTAAAACTTGGGTCGGCCATTTTGGCCCCACCCTTGCCCCGGGGGTCATGATTTGAACAAACTTGAATCTACACTACCTGAGGATGCTTCCACATGAGTTTCATCTTTTCTGGCCCAGTGGTTCTGGAGAAGAAGATTTTTAAAGATTTTCCCTATATATTCCTATGTAAAACTTGGGTCGGCCATTTTGGCCCCACCCTAGCCCCGGGGGTCATGATTTGAACAAACTTGAATCTACACTACCTGAGGATGATTCCACACGAGTTTCATCTTTCCTGGCCCAGTGGTTCTGGAGAAGAAGATTTTTTAAAAATGCCATTAATTTTTAACAAATTCATGATTATCTCCCCTTGGAAAAGGGCGTAGCCCTTCATTTGAACAAACTTAAATCCCCTTCACCCAAGGATACTTTGTACCAAGTTTGGTTGAAATTGGCCCAGTGGTTCTTGAGAAGAAGATGAAAATGTAAAAAGTTTACGACAACAACGACAACGACAACAACGACAACAACGACGACAGACAACGGACAAATTTTGATCAGAAAAGCTCACTTGAGCCTTCGGCTCAGGTGAGCTAAAAACGCACTCAGAATCGGACCAATGAAGGAAGGGGGATAACTCCAACAACGCTAATTATGCATTTCACCCCACAGACTGACGTTTCCTCAAGACTCTCAACCACACCTCATATATCCAGAGTTGTATTTTTGTTTGTTATCAAGGTTATTTTTCTCTTCTTTTTTTTTTAAAAATATTTCATGGTGTGCGTGTGGGTGGGTGAAGGGGGGGGGGGGGGTTACATCTATACTCCTTTATGTTTGGTGAACGTGCTTTCCTGTCAAAGAGTCGTAGATCGAATTCTATTTTCAAAGAACGACCTCTACCATATACGGGGGAAAATAAAATTTTCATGATGTTACTAAGCTGGTAGCTGTGATAAGAATGAACCTCTTTACTCTCAATATTTATGTACACTGGTTTATTTATAGGTAACAATTTTAATTGTATTTTTTCTTTATGTTCAAAAACGCGTACTAAATATGTCAAATTGAGCATAAAATGTGGCTCAGATGTGCATATGTAGTCCACAGTCCTCTCAGTGGCTCTAGTAAAAAAAAAAAGCCAAATTGATCTCCTCACTAGGATAAGGAATTGAAAAACCTTATTGCATATTTAGAGCATACCATCAGGCAATCATTCATACAAAAAAAAAAATGAATTGGCCATTTCGTAAATAGGTGTTTTCTGACGAAGATTTTTGTAGGAATAATTGCGGTTATATTCCTATCCACAATGAGCACCAGGAAAGATGTGTTTGTAAAACACTGCTGCCCCAGTATGGCAGCTTTTGCTGAAATAAAGTTCAAATGTGAATCAAACTCCAAAGTCAAGAACTGAAAACCCCAAAGAAAGGACTTGTCTCATTTAATATACCTGTGAGATCTGAAAGCCCGTCCACTAATCATTCAAAGGATATGGCCAATGTTATTTTATTATTTGTGTAAATATGGTTCAATTCGAAGGGTAAATGATTAAAGTAAAGGTACCCAGGGGAAGGGCTTAAATTGTCACAAAAATACACATGCAAAATAAGCCCCTGCTCCGATCAAAATTTATGGCCAAAGTGATTGTTTTACAAAAGTAAATCAAATTCAAAGGTCAAGGACTAAAGGACAAAATTGTTGTTTTCCAGCTGAAGGCCCTGTTAAAAGAAATACACCTGTCAATTGAGAAAATTCAAGTACTAACTCCAAACGCAAGGCCTTGTCACAAGAAATATACACTTATCATTTACGAAGTTCTAGTCAACAGTTATGCCAAAGGTCAACGTTTTTCAAGAGTGGGTCAAATTCAAAGATCAAGGTCAAAAATACTTAAATCCATTAAAAGGTCTTATGACAATGAATATACATGTGAAGCAAGAAAGCCCTAGCCCCAACTGTTCAAAAGTTCTAGCTTAGGCTAATTTTTGGTACATCCTAATTGCTAGCGCTCTCGAGCCATATTCCTGGAATACGCATGCTCGGCTTCACGGTCAGGCATTCTGGGAAAACTTCACGGTCTAGCTGTGAAAACTACTATAGACTGTACGATAACAATTTCGTTGGGTCATTAGATTATACTGGCCTTTTTCTGTTTGATTCTGGAGTTTATCAATTTATTGTGTAACTTATACTTTCAAACTAAATACACAACAAAAACTTAGGTCGAATAATGCCAAGATTCTAGACATATCTAGCTTTCGAGTTATACCACCTTCCTGGATAATATGTCAACAAATAATAACAGAGGTTTCATTTTTCAAAACAAAATCAACAATGAAATTATGAGCACGTCCATATAAAAAAACATAGCTAAATACAATCAATGCCATTGAGCAATTTAATGTGTTCAAACTCAATGTCACAGAACTTTATTCATAAATCAAAAAATATTATACATATAGATTTACAATTTGTTGGAATAATTATTCTGCGTTTTCATGAATTCCGTTTTCTCCCTCCCGTAACATCTAAATACCCCAAAACAGAACAAACCCAACACCATTATTCCTAACATTGACCCAAAGATGATGGCTAACTCGTGGTCAAAACTGTCTGAGGTATCCTTGCTGGACACTGCTACTTGAATTGTAGTTAATCTTGTGGTCACTGTTGAGTGTTTACTAGACGTCAAAGTATGTAATAAACCTGTTGTTTTTCTTGTTGTTGGTGGTGCTGATGAGATTGTTGTTTTTCTTGTAGTCAGCTGTGTCCCCAGTGACGAAGTTACGGTTGCTTCTGTGGTCTGTGATTGTCCAAAAGATGTTTTCATTTGAACTGTTCTTGTTTCCTTTGCTCCCATTGAAGACCTGGATACATCGTGTACTGTGGTATCTGAGGACCTCTCACTTGATGCCAAAATTGCCGTTTTTTCATAAACTTGCAAGGTAGGTAATGTTGCAGTTGCTAGAGATATTGTCTGTGAACCAGTATATTCAACTGGGCTATGAACTGGAATGGTGTGGCTAGCAACGTCAGTGCTTTTTGCTATGGACGATGGAACTGATGTTGTACAGTTGATAACCTGACAAAAGACAAAAGTTATCAAGTTATGATAAGAATTTTGTATTCTTAATGCATTAATTCAGCAAAGAAAACAAGTTATTCTAAGTATAAATAATAATACCATGTGTATGATCATTCTTTCATATATCTTTAGCAAACTATTTTTTGTGTGAGCAGTGTCCTTTGAGTCACCTTTCCATGCGGGGTTCCCGGGTCCTCCGCTGACCTCTTTCCAATGATGTGGCCCTCACCTGGATGGGTCACTGAGTGATGACAAGGGTCACGGACACTTTGAGCCTGCAGAAGAGTAATCACCAGAGTATTAGATGACGATCACAGAACACCTAAGACAACACTAAAAATGAACTCCCTAAGACCATCTGAGATTTTTTTTCTTCATTCACACAAATTTCAAATACAATCACAGTTATTTACAAGACAGGAAAAAATTGTGTGAAAGAATTTTTAAGAGATTAAGGAAAAATGGAGAAGGAGAGGAGAAAGAGGGGTAAGAAAGAGGGGACAATGAACTTTCAAAAACACTGTTTATAAAAAGGTTTTTGAGTTCTTACAATTTTTCAACAATATCCTGTCAGTGTTTTGTAAATTCTTCATCAGTTTGAGATTGTTACTTATTAACACTATTCACAAGTTTTCAAGCATTCTTTAGAGTCTCCTATAACCTTAGAAATGTTCTTCTATAGCTCTGGGATGATGTTACAAATTAAGATGATGTAACATCAATATCCAGCAATAATTGTATTTCAAGAAATTAATCAAATTAATAAAGAAAATAATTTAAATCAAATTTATCTTTTCAAATTTTCAAAATTTTCAAATTATGTTCCATGATTCTTCATTTATTTGAAAAAATCTTACAGTTCTGTTCATGGTTAGACAAAACTTCTAAATACCCAAATTAAAAATGTAGGGTGAACATTGTTCTCAATAAGCTTGAGAACTTAGTTTTTGTTGGTGCGTACATGTATTTTTAATCAATTTGGTCAATAATATAATGTAAGACAACTCTTTCACAAGACAGAAAGAATAGAATAAAAAACTCTCATTCAATAATATCAGTTATGAGTAGTGTATCGTTACTTACATTGGAGAAGGAGTTGGTCATTGAAACAGACAAAACAAGAAAGAATTGGAGCACACAGACAGCCATCACACCAACAAAATCTTTCTCATCCATTAATTCCTCATTGCTAAAATTACTATATCTTATCAAAATGATGACATTATCCGGAAAAATAAACCGTATATACACGCCAGGTAAAAAAGGTCTTCCTTTGGCTTTCCTATATCAGGATTCCAATGTTGTTAAGTTGTTGCCAACTAGTTTGGAAAAGGTTTAAAATTTAAAAAGACATTTTTTATTCTTATCAAATGGTCTCTGCTTTTAACAGTTACTGTTTTCCTTTAATTTGATAGAGATTAATAATCAATAGAAATAGCAATGATCCTTGTTTAAAAACACAACATCCCGGGTTAGTAAATGTAATTCTTCCTTGGTGCTGTAATTTCGGCTGAGATTGGTTCCACTGAGGATATGGATTCATGTTTTCATGAAGGATGTGCAGCAAGGAGGGTATTAATATAAAGAGAGTTGCACGATATTGAAGGGCAATTTTACTTGCAAATTTGATCTGGAAAATTGTATCTATTATAAAACTCTATCCCCGATCTCTCAGGTATTCCGAGGACAAACCCTAATTTCTTGTATTTCATTTAATCTTTTTCTAGTTTTTGTAAAGTAACTATCAGTAACTGTAATCATTACAGGCGTTTCAAACTTTCAGTGCACCCTTAGTGGAGCTGATCCAATTCACTTGGGTGAAGAATATAACTTATCAGTATAATATACTACAGCAAAAGACAACACCACAAACATTATATTACAATTTAACTGAATTCTTGTATATTGTCAAACATAAATGTATCTTTATTATTATTATACTATGGTTAAGATTTATGAAAATATTAATAGAAAAGTCAATCCAAGCATCTGATTTTAAAACTACCGGTATATCGTTTCCAGAACATAAAAATAAATTTTGCTATGAAAAGTAGATGTATGCTTGTCTTTAATTTCACTTCTGTAAAGGACGGTATCTAATTGAGGTCTAGCGGTACAAAAACTTTATAGAAGTGTCCATGCTTATGTCTGTCATTTGGCCACTCTATAAAGTATTCTGCAGTTTGTTTCTTTCTCCAAAAGTATATGTAAAAGGGATGAAAATGAACATATTTTCAATTTCAATTATTTTTTATCAGATGAGATTTTGATTAATTGATCAAAGGTCATATCAATAAAAGTTTTATTTAAGAAAAATCTCAGATCCTAATGGGAAATATTTAAAGTAGTCAAGTTTAGTTTTTGTTGAAGATTGAAAATATTGCTTTGTCATGAAGTATAATCCATTTTCAAAGCTAATTCTTTGTCCTCTTTCAAAGCTGATACTTAAAGTGCATTATTGTACATGTGGTATTTGATTCCATATTTCTTAATCTTTAATTATTAAACATGTTTTCAACACATAAATGGTAAAGTGGATAAGATCCTACTTAAGCATTGACTGCTAAATTTGATGGCTTTCTACGAACACCTTAAATATCTTTGAGAATATTATTTTGATTGTTTTTTTTCAAATGGGAAACGTTCTGAGGATAACATCTAATTAATAGTCTGTGATCCATATTTCAGACCCCTATACACAGGCACTTGTTTCTGTAATAAATTTTTGACCCATAGTAAAATAATAACACGTGTTATTATTATACTATGGGTTAAAATTTATTCCCGAAACAAGTGTCTATGCCCCTATGTTATAAATGGAACAAATCATTGAGTATATAGAAGGTTGAGATTTTTGACAATCATTGAAGCCAATAATCATACGTTCTATTTCCACTATTAAAGAGTTATAGTTCTTAGTGCGCTCTTTCGTGAAAAAGTCGGAGAATGTACAAATCTCGCGGAATTTCTGGGACAAACGTAACATAAACATGTAAACAACACGTTGAATGTCGATGAACAAATCCTAACAAAATGGATATGAAATATTTCATTGTTGTGGACTTTATTTAAGTCAAGAGTAGAGATGACAGGGATATAATTTATGTACTATTTACTAGTATCTAGTCCCACCCCCACTTTTTTCCCAACATTAGGCATACTTTTTCTATTGAAAATGTTCATTGAAAGACAGGTTGCCAACATCCCCCCCCACACACACACACAGTTTATACTACGGTAAAGTTATATAAGGGAAATGTAGTATTGTTTGTCAAGGAACAGATACTGAAATAAGTAGCTTTTTCGACTTTGGGCAAGGTTTTCTTTTTTCTTTTTTTTTTTTTTTTTTTCTTTGTCAACTTTTCCCGGTAAGAAAAAAAATATTTCTTTGGCTGCCACCCCTCCCCCCCCCCTTTTTTTAAAGACGATGCTACGTGCCTGGCTGATTCGTATAGCTTTCTAGAAAGGGGGGGGCCAAAAGACCTAAAATCGCTTATTATCTAAAAAAAAAAAAAAATTGCAAACCGTTTCCTTCTTTTAAAATTTTTAAATGCAACGTGTAAATTGATTACTAATTTGTTGGATTATAGTAATGCGTAGTCCGCGGAAGTTATGCTAGTGTAGAAGAGTTCCGATTTTGAGGGGAGATAACTCACTTTTTAAAATGGGGAATATAATTTTAAAAAACGGGACTGGAAGTCTGAAAATTTCGATTTATTTCTTTTTCAAACGGATGTTCCGTACTTCTTAATCATCATAAACTTAAACATTTAGACAACATTCATATTGTATATCAACAAAAGTAATATAGGCTATGTATCCACATTTTTGCGATATACCGCGATACAATAAAACCCGCGATATAATGGGAATCGAATATACATCTATCGGTCATGGTATGTATCTATTTATCGTAATGGTACATTTGAAGTCAATATAGTCGTATTTTTATTAATGGACGATGAAGTTAGGGTTTTCGCTCTTTTTCATATGTCTTTTAGCTCTAATTAGTTCTTTATTCTTTAGTTAGAATGAAAAATGCACTTAACATTTAAAATTGGATTGATACAGACATGTTTTGTATTATCCGCAATGCCATGCTGTCCCAGTCAGACGACCAAACGCGCCTCTAATTCTGAAGAGTTCACTAATGGAAATACAACGCATTCTAATTTTCAAACAGTTAGTTTTCGATGGACCTAAATTTAGCAAAAGTTACCTCCCGTTGGCCGCCATACTGGAGGTCCAAATGCTCATATTCCTTCATTGTTCAATCAATTTTAAAATTTTTATATTTGCAAATTTGAATTAGGAATCATTATTTTTCTGAAGTATATAAATTTTTGGAAGCCTCCTTTATGGCACGCCAAATTCACAAAAATGAGCAAAACATAGTTTCACAGTCGATAAACTAGGTTTATCGGTTGTAAACTATAGTTTACGGACTGTAAACTATAGTTAACAACTTTAATCTATATTTTACATCTGTAAACTATAGTTAACGCGATAATCTATGTTTCACAACCGTAAACTATACTTAACACCGAAAACAATCATTTGCGATCGCAAAACATAGATTATCTGATAAATACAGTTTCACGATTTGTAAACTATAGTTTACAAACCGTTAACTATAGTTAACGATCTGATAAATATAGTTTCACGATTTGTGAAACTATGATTAACAACTCTTAACTACTGAGTATACTTTACGATTGTAAACTATAGTTTACAAACGTTAATCTATGTTTATCAACAAAATCTATTGTTAACGCTTATTACTGACAGATAAACTTAGATTATCATTCGTTAACTATAGTTAACAACCGTTAAATATAGTTTTACAGATGAAAACTATACTTAACGAATTGTTAACTATAGTTTACGGTTTGTAAACTATAGTTTACAGTCGATAAACCTAGTTTATCAATTGTGAAACTAGGTTTATCTCATTTTTGTGAATTTGACGTGCCATACTCCTTTATTTAAAAAATTATTTAATAAAGATTTTCCACCAAATATTTCTGCTATATTTTCTTAAACTTGGTAAGACAAAGAGGAAAACTCACCGAGTCGACCTCCAATATGGAGACCAACGGGAGGTAACTTTTGCTAAATTTAGGTCCATCGAAAACTATCTATTGAGTGGTAAACGTGCACGTTTGATACTGAAAGTTGGTAAGAAGTAGTAATTGATCCACAGGCACCTGACATTACTTATTTTTCTAAAAATACAAAAAATATACCCATACCTATGTAAGGGTATATTTTTTTTATTAAAAGAAAAATAAGTAACGTCAGGTGCCTGTGATTGATCCATGTATTAATGTATATTTTGAAATATGTCTCATATAAAGGTTTTCAAGGACAAACTTCAACCTAAAGCAATTTTTTCCAATTATTGCACAACTTCAGTGCATCTTAAGTAAGTATTATCCATAAATGGCCTAATTGTTCTTTTTATAATTTAACATTTACATTGTATTATATAATAAACCCTCGATCTTTACTTATTTAAAAAAGTATAAATTCATTAAGGAAACATGTCATGTAAGAACATACAATTTTTACAAACATTTTTAGTCGTTTTACAGAATATTTGTTGTTATTTACAAAAAGCTTACAAAAACATACATAAAACATTGGTGATAAGTTAACTTTCTTCCAAAACATTCTTAATTATTCTAGAAAGAAAGTTTTCGTATCGAAAACTTTCCAAGAATGATGGAAAATCAAGTGCTTTTCTGCGAGTCATCTAAGCGTTCACATCTCTGCATCCGGCATTCAGATCACATCAGAAAATGCATGGCCGTTCTCACAATTAGATACTGCTACACCTTCATCAGAATTTAGACATTTTGATTGAGATGTCACCCCCACCCTCCATGTATGATTCTTCCTTGTCTTTCTTGTAACAGCGGTAAACACAGAAGATAAATATAGCTAGAATCATCAATCCTAGCATCACACCAAATATAATGGCGAGTTCGTGGTCGTAGTTAGCAGACGAACTGTTGGCGGGAGTACCGGGCTTTGGAGGTACAGATAAATGAACAGGTGTTGTGGATGACATAGGATGGTGTACGTTCGTACCAGCCGAACTAGGATTTGTTATCGATGCTTTGGAAGTAGAAGCTACAGGATGATTTGACTGGACTGTAGTGATTGAATTCTTTTGAGAGAATAATGCAGAGCTTGCCGTAGATGAGAAAATCGGGCTTGTAATTCCATTCTGTGTTGTTGATGCTTTTGAAGTTTCATTTGTTGAATTTGTTGCTTTAGTTGTTATGTTGATATGTTCGATGGTTGTTATTTGCGATGGTGTAGTTGTTGTTGTGGGTGTCTTTAATGCTGCTGCTGTTGATGGTGTTGTTTGCTTTGTTGGTGTGGTTAAACTTGATGGTGAAATTGTTGATTTTATTGTTGTTCTTATGGTTGATTTTGTTGTTGTTTTTGTGGTTGTATTTGGTGGTGTTTTTGTGGTTGTACTTGGTGGTGTTTTTGTGGTTGTATTTGGTGGTGTTTTTGTGGTTGTATTTGGTGGTGTTTTTGTGGTTGTATTTGGTGGTGTTTTTGTGGTAGTATTTGGTGGTGTTTTTGTGGTTGTATTTGGTGGTGTTTTTGTGGTTGTATTTGGTGGTGTTTTTGTGGTTGTATTTGGTGGTGTTTTTGTGGTTGTATTTGGTGGTGTTTTTGTGGTTGTATTTGGTGGTGTTTTTGTGGTTGTATTTGGTGGTGTTTTTGTGGTTGTACTTGGTGTTTTTGTGGTTGTTGTACTTGGTGTTTTTGTTGTTGGTGGTGGTGTTATTGTATTTGATGCTGTTGTTGCTTTTGGTGTTGTATTTGTTGCTGTTGTAATTGTAGTTGGTGATTTCGTTGGTGTGGACAGAGTAGTACTAGTGATGCCTTGTCCCGAGGACTGCAATTAAAAGCAAGTCATATATATTACGTTTAAACTCATTATGATGACCATAACTAATGGCGAACTTTGTTGTTATGGAATGTGCTAATAATAATAAAATATGTTGAGAGTGCGGAAAGAATATAAAATGTTGTGGCAAATTATTGAAAAGGATCTTATTGTACTCATTTAACCCATAGCAACGATTCCTAGCATATAACAAGCAATGTTGTCAGTGTGTGATTCATTCTCTGCACCATGATTACACGGTTAATATATCGGGGGTGTGTTTGATGAAAAAAATAACATTTTATGAAACTTTAATTTACGGCATTTTTTTCTGGCCATGCAGTAAAGTCAACCCATTCTTTACCACTTCAATGCGCTTCACATTGTGTATCGAAACGTGAACTTTAAGAAAAAGATATCCAAGAGTCTGTCACGTCTGTTCCATATTTGGATATTGTACAAGAACAAATGGCCCATGAATAACATCGCTCACCTGAGTTACTTTGACCATGCTTTTCTTCACCAGATCCCCCTTTGTTACATAACACCTATTATAACCCTACCCCACCCCTGGGGTTCATGATTGGGACAACTTACATGTAGAATCTAAACTATCTCAAAATACTTCCACATAAAGTTCACAGCTTTTCTGGCCCAATAGATCTTGATGAAACGATTTTAAAAGCTTTTCCTTATTGTATTTAAGGATAAATATCACAAACTTTTTTTTCATTTGAAAATGTAGCGGTAATGATGTATATGCACCCAAAAGAATTGTGAATGTCATATGCATGGTCCCTATCAACTAAGACCTACAGGAGTGGGACTAAAACCACCAGATTTAACATTTTGTTTTACAATCTTCTACTCCTGGACAACAACCGATTTAAATCTGTTAGCAGGATTGTAATTATAATCTTTCGTAAAAATGCATTATTCTGTGAAAATATTTTTGCAATTGGCTCCTGGGCATCTAAGAAGCAAATGGAGAACAAAGTTGTATGAAGCTAAAGTATTTCAACCAGGTTTCGAAATTTTTGACCATCTGGTCATGTGTTCTCATGCTGGACACGCCTCTAGTAATTTAAACCTTACCGAGAAAAGATATATTCCCTTTTGCTTTTCACTTACGATATAAATAAACAGTGTAAACGTTCGCAATTGAAAGGTCATTTGAAGGAGATGAATATTAACAGTTTCTATATAATGTATATATGTTTTGTTATTCTAATGTGTTCTTTAATACAAAAAAAAGTATTGTTTAAGGAATATACTGATAAGATAAAATTGTAAATAACAAGAAGTCAAAATGAATGTAAAAGGGATTTTTAAAAAAAAAAAAAAAAGGTGTTCAAGCCCTATATTACTTCTGTTATTGCGACAGATACAGTATGTATTGGAGAAGTACATGAAAATAATCAGATATCTACTTAAAGTTTCGCTACCGAGTACAGATTATTACATTATGTTACTCTCTGGTTATCCTATTTTTCTTACTTTTGCGGAAAATGGTTTCCACTACCTTTATCAGTTTCTTTTGTTTGACCTTATACTTCTCTGAACCCTTAATTCACAATGTTGATTTACAATCAGGTGACCCTAAAGTCCTTTGAGCCTCTTATTTCAAATAAAAAAGTCGCCTTAAATACATTAATTTTGATATTGTTTTTAATTTGGTAGTCTTTATGTGTTATAATCAATTAAATTAAACATATGGATATAAGGAACAGTATTCAGAAGTCCATAAAACAGTACAATATAGAAGCAGAGCAAACATGGACCTAAAAAAAATAGAGGTGGGATCAGGTATCATGGAGGAGCGAGCTTCCCTGCCGACCGGTCAAACCCGCCGTGCGCCCCTTGCCACGACGGGGAAACAACGTAAAAGTCCGCCGTCAATCCAGTTTGTAAATAATGGACTAACAATTAGTATGAAAACCGTCAGTCAGCATTTGACTCAATGATAAACTGGATTTGCTGACAAGGTCATTGTATCGACCATAGAACTTACGAAATGATGACTTCAAACGAGACTGCTGATATTCTTGTTTTATCAACATGTTTGTCAACAATTTACATCGTTTTATAAATTTTTCATATGTAGAGCATGCCCTTGCGTATCGAATCAACTGAGATATATAAACTACGTAAGCAGGAGATGAAGTTATATTGCTGCATAAGTAAGGGAAGGTGACGATAGTAAAGTTAAAGTCATCACGTTTATTATAGAGCTTGGTTGTTAGATAACCATTAATGTCTTTTTCAAGTAAAATATCCAAATATGAAACGATGAGTCAGACTCTGTAGTATCTTTTATCTCAAGCCCATCAGGATATATCGTATCGACATAAGAATGGAAATTACCATTGTTGATTGACAATAACGTCGTCGATATATCTAATTGTCGAGATGAAGGCCACAGCAAGTGTTTTCTTCTTTTCACCCATAATATTTTGCACAAATTCTGCTTCATATGAATACAAAAACAGTTCTGCTAATAACGGGGCGCAATTGGTATCAATGGGATTCCAACAGATTGTTGGAAGACCTGGTCTCCTAAAACAACATGGATGTTGTCAATCAGAAACTCTTGAAAGCATCTTTTGAAGTCAACTTCAGAGTACTTGTGTGTGCATTCAGAATGTGTTTTAACAAAATAATTTTGCAAAAGACCAGTGACAAGGTAAGTAAATTTACGAGTTCCTTTTTATTGAAAAAAACAGATATCAATGATATCAAAAAGCCTTTCATTTACGGTATTTTTCGAAAGGGGTGCATTTGTGTCCCCTCTCTTTTAAAAACATTTTTTGTCAGCATCTACAAAACTAACATGTACATTAGCCTACTGTAACATGTATGTGTTACCATGTGCGTTATATATAGAGAACGATTATACTTACCCCAGGGATGAATAGACCAAATACACATAGTAAAACAACTAACAGGGATAATTTCATGTTGAATTCCATCTTATTAATCTGTGACCAGACCTACTGTGTTAACATGATTGAGTCACTCTGATCAGATAACACAAAGGCAGTCTTATCACAAGTCAAGTTAGAGATATAACATAGAAGGAAGGGGTGTATCCCTCAAACTGTTAAAAATATATACCTTGGTAGCAGTCCAATGAATTTACTATTTTATTATAAGTGAGAATGGCATGCTACTACTGGTGAAAACTGTTTTAAAATTCATTTTTAACCATCATTTTAATTAAGGCTTTTAAAATACATTCTTACGAAAGAACATTACGTAATACGTTGACTATCTGCCGTAATATTAATGCAAGTTATCGAAATATTTTTTTGGGGGGGGGGGGGGCCCTTCACCATGTTTAACTAAATGCTATCAATTATTTCACAGAAGAGATAAGTATTTTTCCGACTGCCATTTATTCAAACAACAATTTCCTTACTGAATAATATATTATACATTCATACATTGGAAAATCCAGCAAATATTCCTTTCATCGAGCAAGACAGAAAAGAAAAATATCCTTAGATATATCAGAAGAAATTTATTATGTACGAGTTATACATAACATTTTTTCTTTAAAAAAACATTTATATATATGATTGATTGAGGATATTATTATTAATTGGTCCTTTCTATTTCTGCCATTCTCTTTAAGAACACTTGTAGATCAGTGCGGTGTTTCATCAGATATTGTCCGTTCAGATGGAACACGGGAATATCATATCTATACTTCTTATACCATTCCTTGTTTTCTGGCAATGTTATGTCCACTTTCTCCAGTTCAAACTGAAAAGAAAATTTTTAAAATACTGAAGTGTGAAGTTAAAAGTATGTATGTAGTAAACGCATGGTGTACGACTTGAATTACGCTATACACGTACTTTGTTTCACAACTATTTGACAACTGCATTTCTACAACCCTCTGTGAGCTACTGATAAATGCACTATTGTTACAATCACAATCAACTGTTTGCTTAACCTGATATAAATACAAACTTTAGAGTATTCAAGTTTAAACATGAGATTTTTTAAGGAATTATCTCTGTATATACTAAGTATTTATTAAAAAAAAGTCGGTTGCTTCTTCTCTGTGACTTGACATGTAGGTTTTTACTTGTACAGGTGTATAATGTATAAAATATGGGTCTCTCGATCTTTCTTCTAATAGGTTAATAGGCACATTCAAATTGTATTTCATATATGAAAAATTAAAAAATAACGTAGAATTAACATTTTATTAAAAAATCATTTAGCCTATAATATCGCGGGTATGATTTTTAAATAAAACGTTAATTCTACGCTATTTTTTTTTATTTATTTATTTATTTATTTTTTTTGTTGATTTTTCATATATATGGATAGCTGCCGACCCACCGGTCTGTCAGTATACATGTATATATATTTTTTTCGGAGAGCTACAGTTCTGCAGCTATCATATGGAATACAATGTACAAATATACTTAGAGATCAATTTATGAAAAATCAAAAAAAAATGAATAAGTATATTTTTGAACCCGGGGTGTATATTCGGGAGGGGGTGTCTTGCCCACGAGCACGTACGTGTTCAGGACCTTTTGGTTGCGGCGTTAGCATGCCATCCATGTATAATAATAAAACGATTTTCTGCTGTTACCTGGCAACAATTTGAATTTTACATTTTTCTTTATACCTGGTGACTATAGGGCTTTAGAACTTCGAGGGCGTTATCACAGAGGGTACAATCTTCCTTAGTGAATAATGTCAACACTGGTAGCTTCCTTGAGGTAAAGGCCGCACAAGGTCTTACGTACAGTGGTGATTTTGATAAGAGTGAATTTGAAACAACTAAACCAAACATTTCTTCTGTGAACAATACGTTAACACTTTTCAACCAAGATATTTGAAGATAATTATTTGAAGAAAAAAAACTAGTCAGATCCAGGGTGCATTTCTCTTCAACAAACGCATAACTGATAATTATATTAATGAATCATAGAATATAGACCTATTCTGTATTCAACGTTCTCACATTGTTGATCTTCTGGATCTACTTTCATTTTCTCTTTCCTCTTCAGGGAACACAACTCTGGATAGAACGATATAAGCAGAGAGAGAGAGAGAGAGAGAGAGGAACACAACTCTAGAGAGAACGAGAGAAAGAGAGAGAGGGAGAATTTAATTTTATTAATGATGTTCAATCATGTTTATAATAATACTAATATACTAATACAGTATTCTCCAGATGTCACCCAGGCTGGTGTGCATTGCAGAAGGATAAAACGTACGCTGAACTAGGACCTGGGGTCCCCCGCAAATAGTTCGTCATTTTGCGTAGTAATAAAACATTCTAGGAACTCTCCAGGCATTAAAGGCACAAAAGTAAATTCATCGATATCATCAATACGGAGACCTCAGGTCACCTTATATATTAATTGAATTTTATATGATAGACAATTTTCTTTGTCTTACTCCAAAATAATCATATTTATAACTTTATAAAGATCAATTTTCTAATATATATATTAGCAGAAACGTGAAAATAATAAAGGGTGACCAGAGGTAACCTAATATTTTACATCAATAGGAGGACCAAAGATCACCTTACATTGTACATCAGTAGGGGGACCAGAGGCCACCTTATATTTAACATCATTAGGGGGACCAGAGGTCACCTTATATTGTACATCAGTAGGGGGACCAGAGGCCACCTTATATTGTACATCAGTAGGGGGACCAGAGGCCACCTTATATTTAACATCATTAGGGGGACCAGAGGTCACCTTATATTGTACATAAGTAGGGGGACCAGAGGCCACCTTATATTTAACATCATTAGGGGGACCAGAGGTCACCTTATATTTAACATCATTAGGGGGGACCAGAGGCCACCTTATATTTAACATCATTAGGGGGGACCAGAGGCCACCTTATATTTAACATCATTAGGGGGGACCAGAGGCCACCTTATATTGTACATCATTAGGGAGACCAGAGGCCACCTTATATTGTACATCATTAGGGAGACCAGAGGCCACCTTATATTGTACATCATTAGGGAGACCAGTGGTCACCTAACCCTAGCTATTGTTATATTGTACATCATTAGAGGGATCATAGGTCACCTTACATTTTAAATTAATAGGGGTCCAAAGGTAATCTTTTATTGCACATAATAAGGGGACCTGGGGATACCTTATATCGTACATCATTTGGGGGACCAGAGGTCACCCTATAATGTACATCAGTAGGGGGACTACAGGTAACCTAATATTGTACTGTACATAAGTAGAGGGACCAGAGAACACTTTATATTGTATATCAGTAGGGAGACCAGAGGGCACCTTATATTGTGCATCAGTGGGGGGGGGGAGAGAGAGAGGACACGTTATACTATACATCAGTAGGGGGACCAGTGGACGCCTTATATTGTACATCAATACGGGGACCAGAGGTCACCCGATATTTTACATTAGTACGGGGACTAATGGTCACCTAATATTGTACTGTACATCAGTAGAGAGACCAGAGGTCACCTTATATTGTACATCAGTAGTAAAACCAGAAGTCATCGTATATTGTACATCAGCAGAAGGACCAGAGGTCACTTTATATTTTACGGGGACTAGTGGTCACCTAATATTGTACTGTACATCTGTAGCGGGACCAGAGGACACCTTATATTTTACATTAGTAGTAGGACCAGAGGTCATCTTATATTGTACATCAGCAGAAGGACCTGAGGTCCTCTTTTGTATATCAGTAGGGGGACCAGAGGACACATTATACTATACATCTGTAGGGGGACCAGAGGACACCTTATATTGTACATCAGTGGGGGAAAAGGGTCACCTTTTATTGTACATCGGTAGGGGGACCAGAGGACACCTTATTTTGTACATCATTACGGGGATCAGAGGTCACCCGATATTTTACCTTAATACGGAGTCTAGTAGTCACCTTATATTGTACTGTACATCAGTAGAGGGACCAGATGTCACATTATATTGTACACCAATAAGGGCCCCAGAGGACACCTTATATTGTACATCAGTAGGGGACCAGAGGACACCTTATATTGTACATCAGTAAGGGGACCAGAGGTCACCTTATATTGTACATCAGTAGGAGAAACAGAGTTCACCTTATATTGAACATCAGTAGGGGAACCAGAGGTCACTTTATATTGTACATAAGTAGGGGGGACCAGAGGTCACCTTAGATTAAACATCAGAAGGATGACCTGTGGTCCCCCTACTGATGTACAATATTACTTGTTCTCTGGTCACCTTACTCTTGTCCCTGATGTGTACTATAACGTTACATATGTACATCAGCAGGGGTACCTTAGGTCACCTTATATTTAACATCAGAAGGATGACCAGACGTCATTTTATATTGTACGGGGAATAGTGGTCATCTAATATTGTATTGTACATCTGTAGCGGGACCAGAGGACACCTTATATTTAACACCAGAAAGGGGACTAGAGGTCACCTTATATCGTACATCAGTAAGGGGATGAGAGGTCACTTTATATTGATCATCAGCAGTTGTACCAGGGTTCACCTTATATTGTACATCAGTAGGGTGACAAGAGGACACCTTATATTGTACATCAGTACGGGGACCAGAGGTCACCCGATATTTTTCATGAGTACGGAGACTAGTGGTCACCTAATATTTTACTGTACATCTGTAGAGGGATCAGAGGTCACCTTATATTTAACACCAGAAAGGGGACTAGAGGTCACCTTATATCGTACATCAGTAAGGGGATGAGAGGTCACTTTATATTGATCATCAGCAGTTGTACCAGGGTTCACCTTATATTGTACATCAGTAGAGTGACAAGAGGACACCTTATATTGTACATCAGTACGGGGACCAGAGGTCACCCGATATTTTTCATGAGTACGGAGACTAGTGGTCACCTAATATTTTACTGTACATCAGTAGAGGGATCAGAGGTCACCTTATATTGAACATCAATAAGGGGACCAGAGGACACCTAATATTGTACATCAGTAGTAGGACCAGAGGTCATCTTATATTGTTCATCAGCAGAAGGACCAGAGGCCAGCTTATATTGTACATAAGTAGGGGGACCAGAGGTCACCTTATATTATACATAAGTACGGCGACCAGAGGTCACCTTATATTTAACATCAGTAGGATGACCAGAGGTCACCTTATATTGTGCATCGGTAGGGGGACCATGCAGAGGCTACCTTATATTGTTCATCAGTAAGGGGACCAGATGTCACCTTATATCTAACAACAGAAGGGGGACCAGAGGTCACCAGTGGTCATCTTATATTGTACATCAGTAGGGGGACCAGAGACCACTTTATATTGTACATTAAAAGGGGGACCAGAGGTCACCTTATATTTAAAATCAGAATGGGGACCAGAAGTCACCTTATATTTAACACCAGAAGGGGGACTAGAGGTCACCTTATATTGTACATCAGTAAGGGGATGAGAGGTCACTTCATATTGATCATCAGCAGGGATACCAGAGGTCACCTTATATTGTACATTGGCAGGGGGGCCAGAGGTCACCTTACATTGTACATTAAAAGGGGACCAGAGGTCACCTTATATTGCACATCAGTAAGGAGATCAAAGGACACTTTATATTGTACATCAGCAGGGGGACCAGGGGTCACCTTATATTGTGAATCAGTAGGACCAGAGGCCACCTTATATTGTACACCAGTAGGGGGACTAGAGGTCACCTCATATTGTACATCAGTAGGGGACCAGTAAGGGGACCAGAGGTCACCTTATATTATACATCAGTAGGAGGACTAATGGAGTTTTATGAAGAGACTTACTTTTACATTAGACAGCTGACTTTTACATTTTAAGTAATGGAGTAAGTCATTGTTTAAATTGTAAAAGTCAGTAGTCGATTGTAAAAGTAAGTCTCTTCATAAAACTCCAGTGGTCACCTCATATTGTACATCAGAAGGGGGACCAGATGTCACCTTGTATTGTACATCAGTAAGGGGATCAGAGGCCACTTTATATTGCAGTAGGGGGACCAAAGGTCACCGTATATTGTACATCAGTAGGGGGATTCGAGGTCACCTCATATTGTACATCAGTAGGGGGACCAGAGGACACCTGATGTTGTACATCGGTAGGTCACCTTATACAAGGGTCGTTTAATCATGTCTTCGGTGCTCGGAAAGAAGCAAAAGTCGCTCTTCAATGATTTAGTTAAAATGATTTAACCTAAAATTATCTTTTCATTAAAACACATGTAAGTAACATTTTTATCCAATTTCTGATTCATTTTCAATTGTTTTTCGAACTCATTTTCTGGTATGAACCTTTGTATACTGGATTATTGCAGATCCTATGATTTCCTGGACTTGTTTCTTCCTTCTGAAAGGCGTTTTCTCAAGTTTGGCAAATGGAACAAGTCAAAAGGAGAAAGATCTGGCGAATATTGTTAACGTGAATGAACATTAACTTTTTTTTTATCCCCAAGACTCCTTTTACTCTTCAGGACTTTCGGGTTTGGACGCTGTCATGGAAAAAATCTAATGTTGTGGATTCCTTATTCTCATTAACCTTTTGATTTTTTGCCAAAAAATTGCTTTCTAGATTCCTCCAGAAATTAAACTGCATCCCCGAATACGAATTTGAACAATAAGACCACTAATATTTAAGAAAATTGCCTATAAATCTATCCTTGTGTTCTTGCAATTCTCTGCTCTTCTTAGACCTTTGCTTTTTTTGTCAAGTACATCTTATTGTAAATTTGTTTTGAGGGTTTTAAGCAATAGATTCAAGTTTCATTATCTGTTTGAAATTCAAATAAACGTGGATAACTACAGTTACTGATATTT